TAATGTTGACATACTTTTTATGCCCCGCATCAGTGCAAGAACCTGACAAACGCGTGTTCTATGAACCTGCACGTCCGTCTTCACGTTTATAGGCCGGCTACGAACAAGCGCATTGTCAGAGGAACTCGTTTGGAAGTCTTGCACCGGTCTTAACGAATTTCTCAAACATTTGATAAACGTTACAAGGGCGTTACTAATCCCCGAAGACATAACTCGCCACTCCCACAGAATACTGCTGGGGGTGCTCACTGCCGTGTGCGGGATGTCCCGTTTACGCTTGAGGATCTGATAGAAATTTTCCATCATATAAACGGACAAGATGAGAGCACTCTTTAACATACTATCTATGTTCACGTCCTTTCTCGGTGTCGGCATCCGAGCCGGTAACGTTGCAGCATCAACTTGTTAAACGCATGCACTATCCGCCATCATCACGTGGCCCGTCGCACACAGAAGGTCGGTAGGTGTGAGGAGAAGTTGATTCTATCACAGGGCCCTCTGCAAAGCGATCGGCAAACATTTGGTGGATCGTTAGTGCTTGTTCACGAGGCTATGGCCACTACTTCATGACACAGTACTTCGATCCAGGTTTGAGCTCGATATTGTGTCGAGTTCCTTTGCTCTTAAACAACTCGAATGGCACAGATCCAGTAACACGTCCTTGGATTCGATCGAATTATAGGATAAAGGTTCGCCTGAAGCGAATCCTACGATTTAAATATGTACCACTCAAGCCGGGTCTTCTCATAGAAGACACGTTCGTCCAGCGATGAGCTACTGAGAATTCGTTCGTTCTCATTAAAAATTTACACCTACCGAATACCGACAACGCACATGTCCTCTGTGACGAGTGGACACATTCGCTTGACCTTGTCACTACGTAGATCTTGCAAGAACCGTTTGGTTTCAGCGTTTTCAATTGTGTGATCTCCGAAGTAAACATCAGAATCGCAATCAGATTAAGTGTATGAGCGCCTATACTTGGCCCTTTATTAACTGATACAATCCTTTATACGTTTCTCCCTGAAAAATTTTTCCAACAGGATGCTGTGGGCTTATTCCCTTAAGTTGATGAGGTCTTGTTAACTCATCAATTTCTGTTTGAGGATTTCTACCTAGAGTAAGTAGAGAAATGTAACCTCGACGTCTTATAGCTGTAGTTGAGCTACCACATATAGGTCCTCTACAATTGACGCTCCAGCCAATTTAGGATCATCATGTTACCCAGTATAGGCAACCGGTTGGTTCTTTCTTTGGTTAGGACCGCTAGGCGTACAAGCGTGTACCGATCCACTCGACTTCTTTGAGTGGTGGACCTTCAGAGCTGCCTGTGCATTCGCATAGCCTCCGACAGCAACCTCCACAGAGTGATAAGTTATCACTCTGTGAGTTTGTGCAGTCGTATTAATGACCGAACTGCAAGCGAGGCCATCGGGCTCACTTGCAGTACATCCACACGCTTGTGGACGCTACAAGAAGTCTATCAGGTGGCCATCTGATGAAAAAGTGGCAGGCACCTATACGGTCCGATGCTGCCAATTAATACTTGGTTCGTGCTTTCGAATCTTGGTGAATTCTAGGATATCATCAAACTTGTCATGTAAATGAAGTACCCACCACATTTTTCATCACTACTACTGATACGTCTGTTGCAAGGTGCAACGTCATTCTCGTTGCATGGATATCGCGCTCAACAAAATTGAACCTGTGATCCTCTAGCGACTGGCGACGAACAAAATTGTTCGACGCACCACAGCCTACTGGGACTCAAAGTGACGAATCATCTATCACTTTTAATTTAAAGATGATGAAAGACCCTCGTAGCCAAGTGCAGACGCACAGTAACTGTACGTGTGGAGCAAATTTCACCAAAAAGATTTGCGAATTCTCTTAAGGTTGCTGGATCCTCAGGCGCTCCACCCCAACTTTTCCTGACCGATTTTTGACGAACCGCTACGCTGTAACGATTTCGCAGCAACACTGAACCCGCGTCCTTCGTCCCTTTTAGTAAATGGTATATCAGCTTGCTCAGTGATTCGTGGCGCTAATAAGAGGGCGCTACACTCGCAAGTATAGTGTCCCAACCTATGACAGCGATCACACTTCTGTAATCGCTTGTTGGCTACAGAGCGAGTCTCTCGATGTCGACATGAATGAGGTCTATAGGATCTGGACCTCCGACTTATTGTGGTCCTGAAGAGCGATATGAACCCAAACTAGCATGAGCCTGTCTCAAGATACCGTGTCCCGTTCCGCAAATATTGTCGTTTCTCCTAGTGTATCCTGTCCTAGTCAAAAAAGGTGAGTCTTGACGGGACCATCTGCAAGACCCTGCACAAACACAGTGCTCATGAACCGTATTGACCGTGATACAACTCGCTAGGAGTCAATTGTGGTAGGCGTAAGTGTGTACATCACGCTTACCCTGCTTAAGTTGCAGGAGCTCTAATTGAGCCCTGACTTCAGCCCATGGTGTTTCAAACATTTATCACAGTAGAGTCTTGAAGACCTCCAACGACCCAAAGACATTAGAGTAGTGAATTTTGATCCCTAATGACCAGGTCCTGGCACTTCCAGACAGGTTCGACTGAGCCGATGCGACTTGTGTTTGATCATCGACGATGTGACGACCCATATGGCGTCTTTAATCACGAAAAACTATGGCAGCATTATTTCTTCCTCAGCTTTTCTGTACTGTGAGATGTCTATCTTTAACGTTGCGAAAGCAAGCGCATGTGTCGTCCCGGGACCAGCAGAACCTTGCTAGTAAAGCAAAGTTACTTTCTTTCGTGACTCGTCAAGTTCATGTTGTATGAACTTGGCGGCGGCGGCATTTGCTTTTCTCTTTTCAGTGCGTGAAGCATGGTAGAGATGGCATGTATTCCCACTGTCGAACCAACTCGTTCGATCGCACTCAATTCGATTTCACTTAATTAGGATTGATTTTACGCATGGCGTGAAAGCTGTCACTATCTTTGTGGTGAAATGGTCAAAAGGAAATCCTGACCAATAGCCTTGATCATCTCGTAAGTGCATGTGGGTAAGGTCATGACGGTCTTGGAACTGACCGCTACAGAAATCCCCAATGATAAGCTGGACGGTTTGCAAGTCATCAGTGGCGGTCACAGATTATGACCACCGGTTAGGGCCACGACGAATGACTGACCGGTCATGGTCACTATGGGTGACCAGTGGTCATAGTCATGATGGGTGACCAGTGGTCATGGTCACGATGGGTGACTAGTGGTCACGGTTACAATGGGTGACCAGTGGTCATGGTCACTGCAAGATGACCAGCGGTCATGTTGGCAGTTAAGGTGGTTTACTTCGAGCACAGGGAATGGGTGGTGGCAGGCGAACACCGTAACAGAAACTGAGATAAAGAGAAGTGTAAACGTAGTTCTAGCCCCTAACAGGTTAAAAACGAACAGAGTTTATTTTCTACACAAGACACGCGTCAGCATTTCTCCGGGATACTAGTGGCCACCTGACGTACAAGATTTACTGTCTGCGTGTTTACTCAAGGTTTGTCCATAGATTGCTTGTCTAGGGACAAGTATACTCATTCAAGTTAGCCCGCGATCGGACGCGGCAAGCATACTAGGCAAGGTCTTTAGACGGCTCAAGTGATCAGAAGGACAAGGTGATCAAGTGGTCAGAAGAACAAGGGGATCAAGTGTCCACATTTGGGCAAGGCGACCTCAAGGAAGGTCAAGCAACTCTAGGAGAGTGCCACCAGAAACTGTTTGTCGTGTGAAGAATTACCACGCGACCACACCCCACCTATACTCAGCTCAATCAAGACAAGACATCGACATCAAGACACCTAGAAGAGTGCAACCGCCCACCGACGGGTACACAAGGTGAGAAGGAACAAGACAAGACACACGGTCCGGAGTGCCCCCTCAGTTATTCGGTCGTCCGGGCACAGGTGGGGAGTCAGGGTCGCTACGTAAATGAGCGAATCTCACTCCACCACACAAATGCGCGTGCCCGGATTCGGACCAGGGATTTCACCGTGAATCCCAAAGCAAAGATGTCATGGTAAAGGTTGATCCGGGGATGGAAGTGATGGCGTAGAAGAGATCGTCGCAGACACGTGATTATAAAGGACCCTCGGTTCGGCAGATTTTTGGGAGGGGCTCGAACGAATCGAAATTCAAAGAGGAAGATCGCCAAGGTAATCTCGAAAAAGAAAAACCTACTTTCCCACCTTAGGTCCCTTCGGGGACCACCGCAGATCGTACTGCAAAGTACGACACGCTAGATGAAACACGTCCAGCCAAAGCAGGACACGTTTTGTCTATAACACAAAACCATACAAAAAGAAAAAAATGAAGGCTAACGGCTCATAAGCTACGCGCGCCTGACTCCGAAAGTAATGCTCAAGAAATAAGCAGGGCAGCAGTGGTCAAGATGGAAGGTTGAAAAATCAATCAGCTGCAACGTCGTTTGCACTGGACCCAGCTTCAAGCGTTGCTTTCTACGGACCCATTGCTGACCATCTCGAAACCGGAGCTGATCGGACCGCTTCGGGACCGACATCGACTCCACAAGCAGCCACTGAAAAACAAGAAGCAGTGCAACGTCTCATTCAACTGCTACAAGGCGTAATATTTGTGCCGGGAGCGTTTGCCGCGCAGGTTTTGCTTTACTGCGACCTAGATCATGTGATCACGGCCAGCTAGTCAATGTTCAAAGCGCTGGTCCCACTGACCGGCAACTATGTCTCCGCTGATCGCGATCTCACGACCAGTACCATGGTCAAAGAGGAAGACTGTTCACCAGCGGCGTCATCACATTACGCTACGGCGGAGTCGATTGCGGACGATAGCGACTGCTTGTAAATAAAGCGAATGTCGTTAGAACCTTCCGGTGCAGCACTTTTACGTGACCACCACAAGAATCCGACTCCAACCACCGGACCGTTGAGACTAATCAAAGAGCCAGTCGATGCTACTGATGACCCCAATTAGATGCAAATCTACATTGCAAAGACCATGGCAATGTTCAAGCGAGACCCACAGCGACGGCCACCACGTTCTGAGCTGACCAGTCGCTTCAACACCAACCGCAAGGCGTTTGGGGTAGGTTTGCCAGTCACGGACATGGAATCGGCTGACTCGCATAGTTGTCGCAGTAACACCTTTGACCCTGACCACCTCGGCGTTGACGGCGTCCGTCGACCTCACTTGGCTACTATAAAAGCCATTATGATAGAAGGATTTGCTGCACAGCGGATTCGCATGTCTGCGATCGTCGATCTTTAGATGTTTTCAGGCCGCGATCACGATGATGACCGCGCTCTAAGCTGGGTGCGAAAGGTCAAATCAGCTTTCTTGCGTGACCAAGCCCCCAATTCGGAGTAATGTTTGGTTTTTGGAGATTTGCTAACGGGCCCAGCCCGAAACTGGTACTCCCAGGTAAGCCGATCGACACGCAATAAGTGAAAAGACTTGCTGGAGAGTTTTCTACTACGATACTGTGGACGCGGCATATCTGCTGGTCGCACGTATTACCACGCCTGCAAACGTGCCGATGAAACTCCGCTAGACTACCTCTATCGGTTTAACGTTGCTGAGATGCGAGCGACAAACCAAGTGAAGGACGGGAACGTCGCTGACCGCCGAGACACGTGAAACACTATATCGAGACACTGGATGACCACGATCTCGCAAAGCAATTGATCTTACTGTGTTTGGACGACGTGGATACGCTGTAGTTAACGCTGCACACATGTGAATGTATGCAAAAGCGCAAAGGCAATCTCCCGATCAGTTCAGGCAAGTTCCGCTCACGATCAGCGTAGCCATACTCTCCGAGTCCATCCAAACCGGCTCAAGCTGTGCGTGCAATCCACGGGGGGGGCGAGAGCAGTTCGTCGGATACAGGAGTAAGCAGTGCGGAATCAGACGAAGAACAACGACGTGTTTAAAGCTCCACAACAGCCGACCATATGAAGGAACGGGGAAATGATCATCCAACCAAGCCAAGATCGAACGATCGTGAACGTGATCACGAGGGTGCAGAAGGGCACGAGTTGTGCACTCATTGTGAGTCCAAAAGACATGATGACAAAGGATGCTGGAAACGCCTGACTTGTCAGAAATGCGGGCGCCGAGGTCACCCCTCCGACAAGTGTTTCTACGGATGCGCAGCGTGTAGAGAAGTGCAAGACGGGGGCAACTGCCCGATGGAAAAGTTTAACAGTATGCTTCGCAAGCGGTACGTGCCGACCAAACACGCCGGAATGCTTCCATCCGACGCTTAGAAGATGTAAAAGTAGGACGCTCGCCATGTTGGAACCTGGTACGATCCGAGCGTTCTAGGCTATTCACATATGCTTTCTTTGATAAAGGAGGGGTTGATGACAGTGTTTATTGCCTGACCGGCCGGACTTTCAGTACAATAGATTTGGACTCTAGTTCTTTTCCATCAATTGCAAGATAGCGGCGACCGGATGATTACGCACGATCACCTACAAAGATGGAACTCAAGTTTTCTCCTGGCGAATTACGTGGTTACTGGAAGTACCACACTCCAAACAAGTGGTTCAGGCAAGCCAAGGCGGGAGGAAAAATTAACAATGAGAAGGCCACCCTATTGTTTGACTTGGGAGCTGAAGTCTCAATCATCGATACCACCTTTGCTCGTAAGGTTGGCTGTGTCATTAATGAGAGTCAGAAGCAAGAATGCGTGGGTATCGGAGATAATGTATACATGTCAGAAGGCCGCATAAAGGTGGAGATCACGCTAATGGATCATTGGTTCAATACTTGATTTACAAGAGGGTAATCAAGTGGTACAAGAAGCAATTCTAGGGATGGATTTCGTGGCACTGGCTGGATTACGCCTTGACCTGGCATACGGAACAGTGTGCTTGCCGGACGAATTTAGAATTCAATTGGAAGGCACGTGATCACCGTATGAGGCGAAGATACAACGAATTGCGGCAGATGAGAAGTATTCGGCGATACCGGTGAGTGACTCAGTGGAGGTTAATGTTGGTCGGGGACCACTGCAATCGAAATTATGGTTAACGCGCCACGCACGTAGGACACCGACGGCTATGCCCGGATCCGGAAGACTTACGTACCTCCGCCTAACCAACCTAACCGATCAAGAGGTAATTACCCAACAGGGGACGCCATTCAAGCAATGGATGCCGGCGGACATGATACCGCGGTGACCCGGGCATGTGTCGGTAGGGTCACGTCGATATCAGGAGTGGCAAACACTTGCATATGAAGCTTCTACAGATAGAGATGAAGCAGAAGAAGTACCGGAAGCAGAAGGACCCTTAATCGAACGCCATTCTTACCCAACACCAACGCAGATTCTTAAACGACCCTCACAGGTACGGTAGAGATGACCGCGGGGAGAAAGGAAGCGGAATGGGAAAACGATGTGCTGACATGTTACCAGGTGGATGACCAGGAGGATCAAGAAGGACCACAAACAGAACGATCAACGGTAGCTATCAACACGATCACCACACGTGATACGGGTTGTGATTCGGTAAATGGTCGGCAGGAACAAACGAATGAACCCCAGAGAGAAATTTCTACGCGATCACCAACGTCCGCCGATTTGGTCAACCCTGTTGAGGCGATGAATGATACGACGTTGGTGCACGAGCATTCCGAAACGCACCCACACGAGTGTGAAGAGAAGCTAACTACAGAATCGATCAAGGATATGGTACCTGATCGTATACAAAACAAGTCCCCTGATTCCCTAGATGGAATTACTGTTGGGGATGAGAAGGTGTATCGACCGCCCAACTATCTGAGATAACAAGAAGCAGCGGTCGCCGGCGAAGGAGAACAGGAGTGCACGTCATACCAATACGCAGGTGGAATGCAATTCGCGAAAGATGTTAGCCAACACATGGCAGTCTTACCGGAGGTGGACACGATGCTATGCGAGGTGAAGATTGAGGATATACAGGGGTTCCATCGACGAAAGAGCAAGAAGAATTACGCCAGCTGATATGGAAGAAAACACGTCTGTTAATGGGCAAGAGAAACGCCCTCCCACCCGTGGCTCGAGGCGTGATATGTGACATAGATGTGGGAGAAGCGACCCCAATAGCACAACGAGTGAGGCCTGTCGCCCCAAAGTTCCGTGAAAAGTTGGCGGACCTGATCAAAGAGTTACTATCGGCGAAGATTATATGTCCCTCAACCTCGCCGTGGGCATCGCCGATCGTAGTGATCGTAAAAAAGAATGGGATAGATATAAGACTATGTGTAGTTTACCGACGAGCCAACCAATTGAAGAGGCTGATGGTAGATACCATGCCCTTGATCAACGACCTACTGCAGGATCTGGACAAAGCGCTATGGTACTGTTTATTGAAATGGCCTGCGGATTCTGGGTTGTGGAAATGACGGAGAGAGCACGAATGATTTCTGCGTTTATTACGCCTTCAGGTCTGTATGAATGGCTACGTATGCCGTTCGGGTTGAAAAACGCGCCGCAAAAATACCAGCGTATGGTGGATAATACATTGTACGGGTATTTTACGATAGGCGAACAGCGGAGCTCAAGTGGTCGCGAGGTGTCACAATCGGTCGACGTGTTCACGCACGGCGATCCGGACCCGCACCGAAAGCCCTCAGTGTTGGGACGGAGGTACTATTTTATGACATTCAGATCCCGGCGTCGTCCTGGACGTCCCTCAATTAAAAGGTTAACATACTGTCAGAATTCTGTGATCTGTGAAAATTTGTCGATCAGTTTACCTAAGAGTGTGTGGGGACGACGCAACGTTGAGTATCTCGGGAACCAGGTGTCGACATCAGAAATTGAAGCCGAACCGAAGGATTTGGGTTCGTTGGTCAATACACCATTTCTCCAAATATTGCGGTCAATGAAGTCCTTTTTGGGAAGCTTGAATGACTGCAGCCGGTTCATTGAAGATTTGGCCATTTACGCCTCAGTCCTGTATGAATTAAGAGAGGCGGACTTCATTGAGATTAGGCGGTTGGACAACTTGGAGGATGATCATGCAATAAACCAAGACCACGATGGTGATACCCAGATAGACTATGACCACGGTCAGAGACTGGTGGGTTGCTGTGATAAACAAATGACAAAGATGGACGGTCATGACCAACCAAATACAGTGGGGTATAATGGCGAACATGCAAGTGGTCATCGTTGGGAAAAAGATATGATCGCGTTCACAATGCTGGAAGCAAAATTTGCCCAGACCCCAGTGCTAAGATATTTTGACCCTAATCGTCGGCCAGTGATAGTGGCTTATGCCAGCAAATGGGCGGTATCCGCAGTTTTGTTGCAAGAACACGACGGAGTGAATTGGTCTGTTATGTTCACAAGTTGCACGTTAAAACCGAACGAAATAAACTACGGTGTGTTGGAGAAAAAAGGCCCTGCTCCTGATATTATTTGTTGATTATACACTACTGGTATCGCGGGACCTTGAGGTGCTCACACTCTATTCAAATCTGGCGTGGTTGATGCAATCATCGGGCCTTAACGGGAGACTTGGAAGATGGGCAGCTTTACTGTCAACTTGGACTCTGGAGATTAACGGATGCAGCAAAGGAGAGGAAGAAATTCTTGGCACTCCTGCTGCAAGTATCACACCACGGGAGGATGTTGATAAAATGCTGATCGCGGTCGGGCCCCGGAAGCAACCAAGACAGATTATCAGTATGCCGCCCCTACGGTCAGCCGCGAAGAATCGCTTCTTTTCGTCAGCTTTGATGGAGCAGCCCGTATCAAGAATAAAGGGGGCGCCTACAGTGCGAAAATATGGAAGCTTCCCGAGTGGACTATAGTATCGGCTGAGTCGCGATTCGACACTGGGATGACCGCGAACGACGCAGAGTACTATGGGTCGCTGCTGAGTTGCGAGTTGCTGGCCAAGCAGACAAGGGTACAAGTGGTCATTTGTGGGGATTCCAACCTGGTCATCAGGCAGATGAAAAGTGAAATTGACTGCAAGGCACCAGGACTGCAGTTACTACGTCTCAAGGCCTTAGATCTACTGCGATCATGGCCGACTCTTGAGTTATTACATGTTAAGCGCGATTAGAATCAAAGTTCCGATAGACTGGCTAGCTCCGCTTTACAGCTGGAAAAAGACACGGTCATACTAACGGAGCTGGATTGCCTTGATCTACAAGCGATGAACCGACTGGACGAGATATTAGTACCAGCGATTAACAATTAGGTGGCTAGGATAACGGCGATCACACGATCAGCCACACGGAGGCGTGAAGTGTCCACGATTACGCAAGATGAAATAATTCAACAGATGCAACTGGAGCGCATAAAGCAAGCACAAGATGAAGAAAGTTTGATCGCCAACCTCAAACTTTACCCGGTCGGGGATGTTACCGAATTGGATACTACGGAAGCAAAAGCAAGTGCGGCTATTGCCCCAGATTACGTGGTGGATGAAGGTGGATTGTTATATTTTTGCCATGAGCGGCAGCAAACCCCACTGACCGCGCGGAGCTCGTCCGTTTGTTGGTCCTAGAATAACTGCAAGATGATGTCCTACACCACTACCATGCAAGTATGGAAGGTGGTCACCAAGGGAAAGGTCGAATGTGTCACCGCGTGCGATCGCACTTTCATTGGAGAGGCTTGTTTAGAAGCTTGCAGCATTATGTGGGGAAGTGCGTCGATTGCAAAACCGGGAAAGGATGTTCGATCCTACGAGGCGAATAACCGGGGAATGTACAGGCCATGTACCCGTTCCAGATCATTGCAATGGATCGTATCCCCTCGTTACCCGGATCATTCAAAGGGAATTCCGAACTGTTGCCTTGGGTGGATTTGTGTTCTGCTCCTTAATTGCTAAATCCAGCGCGACAAGAACGGCCCAGACGATCGCGGAAGGGTATGAAGAGTTTGCCAACCGGCGGTTTGGGGCAAGTGAATCTGTTCGTCACGACCGCGAACCCGGATTCATGTCGGATTTCTTTCGCGCTTTCAACCGAATCGCTGGTCAGGAACAACGTGCCACAATGGCGTATCGGCCTCAAGCCAATGGTACAGCTGAACGTATGGTCCAAACATTGATCAGGGCGCTAAGATTGTGTGCCACGGATGGGGACTAACAAGATTGGACGAGCACGCTAAACGCCTGACCTTCGCCATCAATACGTCCCATGACCGAGTACGGGGTAATACCCCGTTCTATCTTATTCATGGCTGGGATCCGCGATCAACGGTGGAAGCGACCCTGCCGTTGTGATGTACTAAAATACGTGATCGGGATCCCCGGAGATGGCGCTATCACATACAGCGGCAATATCAACGAGCCCGCGCTACGGTGAATGGCCGACTGAAGGACGACATTCAATACCCGGCTGACCAACACGACGTTGACCAAAGGCCAAATGGAATAAGCCGCGGTAGACAAGTGTGGCTATATTTGGATCGAGTGAAGGAGGGATATTCCAGAAAGCTTACTCACATGTTGCACGGCCCGTTTCGGGTTATCTAGAAATGCGGGGAACATGCAGTGCGGTTGGAGGTACAAGGGACCCCATACCGGTTATTTCCACTCGTTCACGTATTCAAGCTGAAGCTAGTACGAATTTTCTCTGATCGACCTGCTGCGCGGCTGGAGGTGGAAGAAACAGAGCGTGTTGATTTTGACGAAGCTCTGCTTCCAGATGACAGCTGAAAAAACGATCTAGCCGAAGGAGAATACGAGGTGGATAGCATCCGAGATGTGAGAACAGGACGGAAGACTCGGTACATAAGGGTACACCGACAGAGTCTGGTCCGATGGAAGGGTCATATGAATGAGACTTGAGTGGATGAGGCAAACCTCAATTGTGGTGCTTTATTGGAAAAGTTTGAACGTGATCGAGCTAGGCGAAACCATTTTAAAGTGATGCAAGTACACGAGGAAGAATTCAGATGTTAAGGTGACCCGCGACGGTAACCGCGGCCTTAGAGCATGGGAACTTTATGGTCTGTGAGAGAACGAGGGATGATTAAGTGAACCGTGAATGTGAAGGACAGATGTGGTCAACTAACATGGTGATTATACAGTTAAGATGACCAAGAGCGGTGACCGCTGCCACGAAACAATGTGACCGCCTGGTCTGTGAAAGGACGAGAAATGACTACGTAAGCTATGGATGCTAAGTAGTTGCATGGTCAACCAAAGCGGTGTATGCAGAAGCAAGGAAACATGTAGAACAGACTACAATAGAAATGAATTTGATAAGCAGCGACTGGTGGTCATGACTGCGACCACAAACGTAATGGTCTCTCATGCTGACACGACCTTTCACTGTGCTACAAACTTGATCCGGAGACGGTCGATGGACAAACCTGGTTGGTCAGCAATGGCTGCCCGATATTGATTGCGCCAGGGGTCAGCAGAATCCGCAAGGAGTAAGGCTGAGGCCAGATACGGGATGTTGATCTGTCGACAGCCAAACCCTAGATACCACCAACATTTCTTAAACCGTCCTGGAAAGTGCAGGAAGAAGGGGTCCAACAGGATGTCGAGGTCACACTGACCCCCGACGAAACTCTCCAACACGATCCGGAGTCCAGCCTTCCACCGAAGGCTGGACCGGGAACGACGACGACGCCTTTCTTCACAGAAGACGCTCAATCAAGGGTCTTTCGCGCGACTTGGACCCACGATGATCAGAAGCACATGAGTAAAATTCCATAACGCCCGGCGATGATGGTCTTCGAACTCACAATACACGGTCATCATAGCTTGGAATTAGTCAGTCGGGCGGAATGACACAGGCGCAATAGGCCGACGTAAGACACCCAAGTTTTTTGGCTGTAAAAAGCTGCAATCTGAGTGGAGGTCAATAACCGCGGGGGCCACTGAGCTTCAGTTGGCGGACGCAGGGAACCGTTTGGAATGGGGGACAGGTTGTGCTTGGGCCGGGGATAGTGGTGGAACAAGAGATCCAAGTCCAGGTGACATACAGCGACCAAGCCCAAACGATGGGATGAACACGGCGAAAAGTGGCCAGGGGCATAAGTTTCTCGAGTACAATACCCAGGTATCCACTTGTCGCGCGAGGACCGCACGGGGGGTAAAGCCTTGAAGGCGGTTGAGGATAAGAGCTTGTTCACTGGGGCATGACCGTAGCTTGGTACCGTCACAGACCCATCGGACTCGTCGGACGCCCTGGGTATCTCTGCGGTCGAAGGTGTCGCAGCGATGGGCGGCGACCAGGAAAGGCCCGTTGAAGTACGATCATCACGTCTTGCCGAAGCCGGACGAGCCACGGGTGCATGACTGGCTGGATCAAACTCAATCGGCGTGTCAGCCAATCCATCAGAAGATCTTGTGGTCGAGGCAGAAGATTGCCGTCGAACGGAAGAACGTGACCGTGACAGTGTGATGAGCATGGCCTCGACAGCAGTTTCTACGGAGCCGTCGCTATCCCGCGCATGAGATGCGGAGGGGAAACGCGCTCGTGTTTGCGTCTGTAAACGCCGAGTCATAACAGACGGTGGCGTAGTCACGGTCTTGGGCTTGGACGATTTTCTGGTCGTACGTGCTGTAATCTAGGGGACGTCGAGGCGAGGGCGAGACGCCTGCCGGGACTAGGGATGAGTAGATTATGATAGTGAATGGGTAATTGGGCCGGCGGGCCCTGCAATCGAAGAGGAAGGGGTGGCAGAAGAATCTGGTCCGACCGAACTCGAGGTGACCGTAACGCGCGCACGCTTGTTCGGGGGTGGCACAGGATCGGCCGCTGACTGCATTCGCCGCCGCTTGCTAAAGGCGAGCTACACCGACGGCGGAAGCCCCATAACGAAGTTGACCAGATGGTTGAGCTGGGCCTGGCGGTCGCTAGAAAGCAGATCCCGTTCGGCTCGCAACAGTGCTAGGTCCTCGACATGAGCAGCATGGGAGGAGTGCAAACGGTAAAGATCTTGGTGGCTTAAAGCGCGCTCCGTTTTCAAATGGTCAAGCTCCCGACCACGCTGTGCAAAGCTGCAAGCAAGCGCATAAAAACCGATCCGCACTGAAGCAACACGCTGCTCACTTTCCACTGCCGCTCGCCGTAAGTCTTCACACTCCGTAGCTAACTGGTCAACCTCGGTCGTGTCCACGTCATGCACTTGGTAACGACGCATGGTCTGCTTAAACGATGAAGGTCATATCTTCCAGGAAATATTCGCGAAACTTTGCCTGCGCGTACTGCATAGCACGGCGTTCCTTGTCATGCACTGGGTAGCTACGTTCATCTGCTTGCAGCTGAAGCTATTGGTAACCGACGACGCGCTCAGCGCCTTCTGAGTCGTACTGCATTATCTCGCAGTTGATTTCGAAATCGCTGGCGTCACACACCACGTGGAATGGCCTGTCAAGATTTGCAATTGCAAAGATGAGCACTTGCATCGAACTCTGATTATTACGATTAAGGGAACGCTGATAATCATTGTTCCATGGCCACTTCTCGTTCTTGTTCAAAAGCCGAGAGAGATGAACGGTAACCTCGCCTTAGTTCCACGAGTACTTGTGTAAGTACGCCTTTATGCTAGGAGCTTTCTAAGTTTTCTTACATCGACTGGCACAGGCCAGTAGGTGATCACCTTATTCTGTTCGGTATTAGGACGTACGCCGTCTGTACCCACGATGCACCCAAGAAGTGGTAGCTCTCTCGCTGCGAATATACACTTCTTGAGGTTGGCATATAGCTTATGCTTCCGCATAAGTGTAAGAACCTGACGAACGTGTGTTTTGTGAGACTCTACGTTCGTCTTTCCGTCCATAGCACGGCTGTGGACGAACACATCGTCATAGTAAATCGGTGTAAAATCGTGCATCGGTCTCAACAGTTTCATTACATATCTTTTGAACGTTGCAGGGGCTTAACTAAGGTCCTGTGACATCACTAGCCACTCCCATATCATACCGCTCGGGGTGCTCACTGCTGTGTACAGGATGTTCCATTCACACATGAGGATCTGATAAATCCATCCATCAGATCAATGGACGAAAAGATGATAATTTTTGACATACCATTTAAGATTAAGTCCTTACTCGGTATCGGTGTCTGGGCCGGTGCCGTTGCAGCATTCTACTTGCTGAACGCGTGCACTATCCTCCACCCCCCCCCCTGTGGCCTCTCGAACACAGAAGGTCGGAGAGCTGTGACGGAAAGTTGGTTCCCTCACATGGCATGTAGCTAAGCGATTGGCAAAGAAATTGTCGATCGCTGGTACTTGTTCATGAGGCAGTAGTCACCGATTCATGACACAGTACTTCGAGCTCGGTTTTAGATCAGATCAACCTCTTGACGAGTGCCTTTGTACTTAGGCAGCTCGCATGGCACGGATTCATGGAAAAGTCCTAAAATGTGATCAAACCCTTTCACAAAAAATTCGCCTGAAGTAACTACCGAGATTGAGACGTTATTGCCTAACCCGAGTCTTCCCATCGAGGAGGCTTTCTTCCATCGGTGAGATACTGAGAATCCGTTCGTCCCCAGAAAAACTTTTAACGACCGAATATCGGCGAGTACTCGTCTTCTGTGACTCGTACGTAGATCTACCTGATATCGTCACTACGCAGATCTCGCAAGAATCGTTTCGATTCTAGCGCTGGCGACTTGATTACCTCCGAAGCTGACTTTGGAGATGTAATCAGATCAAGTGTATAAGCGCATACACATGACCCGTCATTCACCAAGACATTTGATGTCTCGGTGCTTTCCCGGGAAAACACATCCGTATGTGTCTGTGAAACACATCCTCAACATAACCCTTTCGTGAGATCTCTCTCTCAGGAACGCTGGAACTTTCTTCCAATACATGTTATGACAATGTGTGCACTACCATAGTCACGTCCTCTTCGATCGAATCTTTTTCAGTCGACCGGGCTTGCTCTACGATCGACTCTCCGATAGCCGATCTCGCTTCAACGTGTTGTACATCCTGAACAACACAAATCTTTCTTCTCGAATGCACCCTTCTTGGTGTGCATCCGTGTTCCAGTTCACTCGATATCTTCGAGTGGTGAACCTTCGGCGCAGTCTGTAATTCTACACAGGTGCCGGAAGGTGGTTCCACAGTGTAGTCGCCTTCTACACTGTGATCTTGTGCAGTCATACTAACGACCGTACCACCAGTGAGGCAATCGCTCTCACTCGTAGTACATCCATACGCTTGTGGACGCTCCACGACGTTCATCGGATGGCCATCTGATGAATAAATGGCAGGCATCTTCACGGATCGATGCTACCAGCTAACCCATGGCCGGCACTTTCTAAGCAACGGCAGACCGAGAATGACATCAAATTTGTCATCCAAATCCATTGCGATGAAGTCATCAGCGAGCTTCAAATAGTCCAGCGTGTAGTAAAGTCCTACTAAACGCTTCGACAAATTTATCGACGCGCGTGTTGCTAGGCGTACCGTCGTCCTCGTCGGACGGATGTTGCGCTCAACACAAATTAGCCTACGATCATTTTACGACTGACAAAAGGCAAAGTTGTTCGACGCCCGACAGTCTACTAGGGCACGAGGTAACAAATCTTCCTTCACTTCTAACTTATAGGTGATAATGGAAACTTTTTTAAAAAGTGAGAAGACACAGAGTTTTTGTAAGCAAGTAGCAACTTAAATAAACATTAGCAACTCTCTGAGGTTGCTGTATCAGCAGGGCACTTCCCCCCTTACTGATTCTAAACGTATTTTGACGGTCCACTTCTCTGTTGCAACTTTGCAGCAACCTTGGAGCCGCGTCCGTTGCCATTTTTGGCAAATGGTTTATCAGTTCGCTCAGTGGTTAAAGACACTGAAAGTAGGGCGCTACACTCGTAAATTTAGTGTTTAGCTTCTGACACACTTGCACTTAAGTTTTTTTTTGTTAGCTGAAGAGCGAGGTCTTTTGCTCTCAAAATAATACAGGTCCATAGGTTCTGGGCATCCGACTTCTTGTAGTCTTAGAAGACAATATAGGTCCGAGCGAGCATGAGCCTGTCTTAAGCTAATGTCTCTCTGTTCCGCACCTGAAAGCGCTTCTTCTAGCGTATCCAGTTCCAAGCGGAACAGATGAGCCTTGATGCGGCCTTCCGCAATACCCTGCATGAACACAGTGATCAATGTGTGCTCACGACCCTGGTTAGCCTTAACACAACTCTCAAGGAGTCGTATGTGTTGGGCGTAGATCAGCATATCACGCCTACCATCCTTGAATGTCAGGAGCTCTGATCAAACCCTGATGTCAGCCGTTAACGTTTGAACGTTTGTCTGAGCCGAGTTTTGAAGCCCTCCAAAGACCCAATCACGTATGGCTCGCGAAACTTGAGTCCTCATTCTCAGGTTTAGACACGTCCAGCCAAGTTCGACTGAGTAAATGCAACTTTCAATTGCTCTTCGACGACGTGACGAGCCCTTCTGGCGCTGTCCAACTCGACGAACAATCTCAGCCGGAATCATTTCGCGACTCCTCTGTACTTTTTACGTCTACCTTTATAGTGTCGGGACGAAGCAAGTGCGTCGCCTCATGAACAATAGCATGTGGCTGCTGTTGTCGCAACAGCTCAAACTGTTGGGAACCCCATATTTCTCAACAGCCGTGCCTGTTAAAAATCTTGCTGGTGAATAAAGGTTGCTTTCTTCCGTGACTCGACCTATTTATGTTTTGTAAACTTGTTAACGGCTATATTCTGCCCATCTCTGTCCAATGCGTACAGCACGGAAGAGACGGCATGTTCGTCGACGGTCAAATACATTTGTTCGACCGAAATGTATTTGATGTCGCTTGGTTAGTAGTAGCGTTCACGCGTAGCGTGAAAGATTTCGCTATCATTATCCAGCATGTTCATTCTGGATGTACGGGTTGCGATTCTCGGACGGGCAACAAAGTGCTACCTATTGTAACGAGGCACTGGTCACTAGTACTGTTTCCGTACTAGTTCGATTGCAATGACAATACTGTAGGTAGTGCGGCACGTTACCTCACGTACACTAAACGTGCAGAGGTAATCTATCTTGGGATCGACGCGTTTTACAGGAGTAGAAAGTAAAGCTGTAATAGATATTATCAAGTACTAAATACATGTACTTATGTTTTGTCTTAACTCAATTGTATATTTATCGACAAACGTGTATGCTGAAGACTGGCTCACCACTCATTGTGCACGTCCATCGTTGACCGGGCCGCTAGAACTGCATTATAGGGGCCATAATAACAGCCAATTGTTGAGTGCTTTGGAAAATTATTCCTTGTATTAATATGCACGAAAAGTTTCAACTCTTATAACAATGCTCTAACTATCAAGTATCAAACTTGATTACGTGTAACGGGCCTGCCCCATTGCAGGCTGATTCGATTCCGTAGCTACGTGCAATAAGCTGATTGGAAACTGACGTGGGGGGGCGACCAGCGCGACGGCGTACTAACTTTTGGTTTGATGCGAGTGCAAGCAGGCGTGAAGTCAACGCCACCTAGCACCTCAAAGCCCTCCTTGCGAGCCGTTTTAAGAATAAAGTAGCAGAGGATAAGATGTGGCAACGCATCTTGCACATTCTAGCAAAGGTGTTTTAAAACCAGCTGTAGACGGATAGGAACGAAGTGGTTTATCAGGATAAGAATTACCATATCCAGATACTCGACCGCCTGCATTTACAAACTATCAGCGATTGAAATTTAAGAGTATCGAAAAAATCTCGTCGGCTATTAACAGTGCTATGGTGCTTGCATTCATCAGTTAACACAAGCCCAACCATATCGGGTTGCTCGACGGTCTTGAGGAGGTCCCTGGCCTGCACCCGGGGCCACCGGCGCTGCCCGCTTGATTATGACCATATCAGAGATCTTGCAAATAGGTAGTGTAACGGGGTAGCCTGATACATGATATTGACACCAAACGGTGTCGTTGAGAAGATTATTTAGCGTTACAATCTCCTGGCAATGCTACTCGAGATAGAAAATACTAGAGAATATTATCCCTTAATGTAATATATACGGGCTGCTCGAAGTTTGGCTTATAAAGACATCTCAATAATTATTTACCACTATCGCGCGTAATGGGTGGTGAGCATGTCGTCGTCAGACGACGAAATGGATTGTTATAGTTAGATTAATATAAAGAAAGATTATAAACTTAGCTATGCAAATACAGTCC